CTTTTTGTGTTTGTGACATTTTCTTAAATTATATTTTCTGTGGTCTTGAACTTATAGGGGATGTTTTGGTAACTATTTTATTTCAAATGCTCATTTAATGAAGAGCAATGTCAGCATATCTGTATTCATCACACCATTTGTTTTCTTTTGTCGTTTCAAATGATTTACTGATGATTGATATCCCCGGTGTGGCTGCGCTTGATGTGCATGTTCAGAAGATGCCTACCTGTCTGTTACCCACTACCTTCTCCCCACAGTCTTTTGGAGACAGATGGTCGTTGCTGCAAGGGACTGGGGTGCACGGTCCTCGTGGCCGTGCTAGGCTAGAAAAGCGGTTCCATGCACACAGTGTGGAGCGGACTATGGTCCAGCCACTGCCTTGTGTCCGATTAGCTCCCCAAATACAGCGTGCTTGCGTTTGCCTGTGAAGGAGTATGGGCCGGCTCCGTTGATGGAACGTGACTCCCATCCACATACCTCCCGGTCTTATTCCTTCGGGTTTACACTGGATATGGGGTGTGTGGGTGCTGCAGCGCAGGCAACTCATTGTCCGTCTTTAATGACAGGCGTCCTGTTGCTGGCGGCATTGACAGTCAAATCCGATTCAGATGTCGCCAACCGTAGACATATATATATATATATATATATATATATATGTTAACTTGCACTCGTTTTATTGCCTACCCGATTTATAGCCCGCCCCGCTTTGTTGTTCGATTTCTCTGAATACAAATTCTTTTCTCATGTATACTTTCAATTTTCGCCGTCTACTTGCTCATTGCCGAGGTCATCCCACCGTTTATTTACCGAGCTGATTGTGCCCTTATCTTAACGCAGTGTTAATTTTACTCCCTCGCTTTGACTGTGTTTTATTGCGATTGCCCCACAGCTATCCAGTCCGACCGAGTCAAGAACAACAATTATTGTGGCGTTATTGACAGATGAGTTAAGCTTACTTACCTTATTCAGATTACGTGCAAGCTAAATGTACATTTTGTTGAGGGCAAACCCTCCCTATTCAAAACTCCAGAACTGAACAATGTCGGGTAATCTTTCCCCTCCACTTTTGTCAGTACTCTTATGGTTACGTCACTAGTATGGCCGGTTACAGAAAGACTTTTTCCTTGACAGAAAAGCTGGACGTTTTAGGCAAAATAAACCTTATTCAACTGGAAACTCACTGGCCAAGTTGTCGCGTGATTTACAAATTTATCATCATACCCTGGCCAGGTTGATTGCCAGCGAAAAGGACTCCGGCAGAATCTGTCGCATGGCACTGCAATCTCTCAGGAAAGACGCGATGTGGGATGGCTGAAGAAGTTGAAATTGCATTGAAAGACTAGCTGATATCAGATGGTGAGCACAACCAAACAGTTACAGGCCCGCTTTTATGAAAAACACAGCAGAATTCGGGGAAACACTTAGAAAAATCTTTGCTGCCACAGAATGATGATTGCAAAGATGGAAGAATAGAAATCAAATTGTGTATAAACGTGCGCATGGTGGATAGAGTCAAATGGATATTATAGAAGGCAGAAGTCACGATTAAACTCCACACGAAAATCTGCCTCGACGGGGAATCGAACCCCGGTCCACGAATTTCCGGTCCGTTGCTCTACCACTGAGCTACCGAGGGCTGACGATTAGGTGCGGAATTTAACACGTGACTTCTGCTTAGTGCGCGACGTATTGCCAATGAGCTCACAGTAACTGTCCTGGTGTTGCAGATCGGCTCACTCACTCGTCACTTCCCAGTGGACCGAAGTAACTGTCCATCCGAAGTCCAAAGGGCGATGGTAGATTATTTGAAGGGTGTTTGTGAGGAACGTAAGTATCGTAGAAGGCAGAAGTCACGATTAAACTCCACACGAAAATCTGCCTCGACGGGGAATCGAACCCCGGTCCACGAATTTCCGGTCCGTTGCTCTACCACTGAGCTACCGAGGGCTGACGATTAGGTGCGGAATTTAACACGTGACTTCTGCTTAGTGCGCGACGTATTGCCAATGAGCTCACAGTAACTGTCCTGGTGTTGCAGATCGGCTCACTCACTCGTCACTTCCCAGTGGACCGAAGTAACTGTCCATCCGAAGTCCAAAGGGCGATGGTAGATTATTTGAAGGGTGTTTGTGAGGAACGTAAGTATCGTAGAAGGCAGAAGTCACGATTAAACTCCACACGAAAATCTGCCTCGACGGGGAATCGAACCCCGGTCCACGAATTTCCGGTCCGTTGCTCTACCACTGAGCTACCGAGGGCTGACGATTAGGTGCGGAATTTAACACGTGACTTCTGCTTAGTGCGCGACGTATTGCCAATGAGCTCACAGTAACTGTCCTGGTGTTGCAGATCGGCTCACTCACTCGTCACTTCCCAGTGGACCGAAGTAACTGTCCATCCGAAGTCCAAAGGGCGATGGTAGATTATTTGAAGGGTGTTTGTGAGGAACGTAAGTATCGTAGAAGGCAGAAGTCACGATTAAACTCCACACGAAAATCTGCCTCGACGGGGAATCGAACCCCGGTCCACGAATTTCCGGTCCGTTGCTCTACCACTGAGCTACCGAGGGCTGACGATTAGGTGCGGAATTTAACACGTGACTTCTGCCTTCTACGATACTTACGTTCCTCACAAACACCCTTCAAATAATCTACCATCGCCCTTTGGACTTCGGATGGACAGTTACTTCGGTCCACTGGGAAGTGACGAGTGAGTGAGCCGATCTGCAACACCAGGACAGTTACTGTGAGCTCATTGGCAATACGTCGCGCACTAAGCAGAAGTCACGTGTTAAATTCCGCACCTAATCGTCAGCCCTCGGTAGCTCAGTGGTAGAGCAACGGACCGGAAATTCGTGGACCGGGGTTCGATTCCCCGTCGAGGCAGATTTTCGTGTGGAGTTTAATCGTGACTTCTGCCTTCTACGATACTTACGTTCCTCACAAACACCCTTCAAATAATCTACCATCGCCCTTTGGACTTCGGATGGACAGTTACTTCGGTCCACTGGGAAGTGACGAGTGAGTGAGCCGATCTGCAACACCAGGACAGTTACTGTGAGCTCATTGGCAATACGTCGCGCACTAAGCAGAAGTCACGTGTTAAATTCCGCACCTAATCGTCAGCCCTCGGTAGCTCAGTGGTAGAGCAACGGACCGGAAATTCGTGGACCGGGGTTCGATTCCCCGTCGAGGCAGATTTTCGTGTGGAGTTTAATCGTGACTTCTGCCTTCTACGATACTTACGTTCCTCACAAACACCCTTCAAATAATCTACCATCGCCCTTTGGACTTCGGATGGACAGTTACTTCGGTCCACTGGGAAGTGACGAGTGAGTGAGCCGATCTGCAACACCAGGACAGTTACTGTGAGCTCATTGGCAATACGTCGCGCACTAAGCAGAAGTCACGTGTTAAATTCCGCACCTAATCGTCAGCCCTCGGTAGCTCAGTGGTAGAGCAACGGACCGGAAATTCGTGGACCGGGGTTCGATTCCCCGTCGAGGCAGATTTTCGTGTGGAGTTTAATCGTGACTTCTGCCTTCTACGATACTTACGTTCCTCACAAACACCCTTCAAATAATCTACCATCGCCCTTTGGACTTCGGATGGACAGTTACTTCGGTCCACTGGGAAGTGACGAGTGAGTGAGCCGATCTGCAACACCAGGACAGTTACTGTGAGCTCATTGGCAATACGTCGCGCACTAAGCAGAAGTCACGTGTTAAATTCCGCACCTAATCGTCAGCCCTCGGTAGCTCAGTGGTAGAGCAACGGACCGGAAATTCGTGGACCGGGGTTCGATTCCCCGTCGAGGCAGATTTTCGTGTGGAGTTTAATCGTGACTTCTGCCTTCTACGATACTTACGTTCCTCACAAACACCCTTCAAATAATCTACCATCGCCCTTTGGACTTCGGATGGACAGTTACTTCGGTCCACTGGGAAGTGACGAGTGAGTGAGCCGATCTGCAACACCAGGACAGTTACTGTGAGCTCATTGGCAATACGTCGCGCACTAAGCAGAAGTCACGTGTTAAATTCCGCACCTAATCGTCAGCCCTCGGTAGCTCAGTGGTAGAGCAACGGACCGGAAATTCGTGGACCGGGGTTCGATTCCCCGTCGAGGCAGATTTTCGTGTGGAGTTTAATCGTGACTTCTGCCTTCTACGATACTTACGTTCCTCACAAACACCCTTCAAATAATCTACCATCGCCCTTTGGACTTCGGATGGACAGTTACTTCGGTCCACTGGGAAGTGACGAGTGAGTGAGCCGATCTGCAACACCAGGACAGTTACTGTGAGCTCATTGGCAATACGTCGCGCACTAAGCAGAAGTCACGTGTTAAATTCCGCACCTAATCGTCAGCCCTCGGTAGCTCAGTGGTAGAGCAACGGACCGGAAATTCGTGGACCGGGGTTCGATTCCCCGTCGAGGCAGATTTTCGTGTGGAGTTTAATCGTGACTTCTGCCTTCTACGATACTTACGTTCCTCACAAACACCCTTCAAATGGATATTAGCTTCACGAGTTAACACGTATGAACCACTCCGGTATGCAACTTCATCCCAACTGGAATCAATGCCTTTGTTCTCATTGCTTTGAATACATCCCTCTCAAAGTGCACCTCATACTTTGTGATGGATGAGTTTTGAATATGTCACCACATATTACATACCTGGTACGATTACTCTGCGAAGTTGTTCCGTACTGGAAATATCCAACGTCGACTCTAACCCGTCATGCTTGTTGAATCCCCTCTCTGTTACACTAAAGGATTCATCCTTTCGACTGGTGTGCACTTTCCGCACACACCTTTATCACTCTTACGATCTCGCCCTTCTTCTGGCCTAATAGCATTTAAAGGTACTACCCATCATGCTCCATTGTGCGCCACTTGTAAGTTCATATTCTTCTGTTCCTTTCAAATCAGCTTCGTTCCAATCTTCTGTTCGCCTCTCACACCGTTTTCCTGTCTGTTTTTGGCATTTACCGTACAGCCTTCGTCGGACGGCCAAACCAAATCTGGAGAATGAGCGTCACCGCGAAAACTCTCTTCGCTTGTCCATTTTGGAAGCTCGTAATTGCCCCCCTAAGCGTCGGTACGTCCCAATTTGATCGGATCCATTCTCATTTTCTCCATAGCTATGTTCCCCTATGTGATTGAATTTTGACTCTCATGTTGTGTCTTAGATTGGTGTCTCCTCCTCCGACGCACGCGAACTTCGTATCTGCCATCTGGGAGCATTTACTCTGGCGGCGCTCTGATTTCCTTTCCTCTTGTGCTAGTGGTTACCTTGTGCACAAAACCACCTCTCCGAAAATCATCACCACACGGATGGTACATACACGCTACGTGATTCATAACTGTTGCCATCGTCTAGACTTAGTCAGTCACGTTTACATTGATCGATTGGCCGGTGAACCTTTGCGCGATAGTTTTTAGTCCGATGTGTTTTCGCAAGGTCAATGGACATAGTTTCTTTCGCAAAACATGTTTGTGCAACACTTTAGGACTGAGTTTCTGTTTTGTCAAATGCCTGAAACGCCTGGCATCCCTCTATTCAGTTAAACAACTATGAGTTTCACGGTAAATCCAGTTGCCACGATCGGCGTTACTACGCTAACAGTCAGTTACGGTTGCGTGGAAAATGAGATAAAACGCAGGCAGCATGAAAGGCGGAAGGGATTAAAGAAAAATGGGTGCAGTTGCTTAACTCAGAGTTGCAACCACTCCATGCGGGTGTCTGAATGAAGAGTCTACACCAATTCCGCGCGGCTGCACCATGTCTGGTAAGGTCTACAACCTCCAAACAGTGGTAAGAAATGGAGGCTTTCGAAATAATTTCACAGATATAGGGAGAATTCACTCGAAGACTGTAGGTTGTGTTCGAATATGTCCTCCCGATTTGCGGTTACATCAAACTCCAGCTATTCGTAGTCTTCAAGCCCACCAAATTTCAACGGTTTCTGCTACCGATGATGACGTACGCGAGCTTGGTTTTTCGATAGCTGATAGCTAGTTGTTCTTCCGAAATGCATGTAAGGTAGTTAGCAAAGTTGCTTGAAGCAAGCAAGATTAGATTCTTCATTCTGTTTCTATACATATGATTAACATAGGACGAAGAAACACGGAAATACGCTAGGATTGACCAGTATACATTGGGTTTCTCGTGAGCTCTCAGGGTTTCCGCTGTAGTGTCCGTGTAGAATGAGGAAGTATGCACAGATGATAGTACGCGTTAACTCAGGATGAAATACGTCATGTTTCCAAAAATCAATGTCAGATTAGCCAAATGGTGAGTAGGCATATGCAACAATTACACAGGTCAGTGAGTGCGAGCTGCTTTGTTTGATGATGCATCTCACATACTGACCTAACTATCGCCGGTCGATACTCGTGCGTGTACATCGTCGTTGCGGACGTTCCGGTCTCAATCGAGGTTGATGTTCTCCAGGCAACATAACTATCTACCTGAATAAGCTTGAAACTTTCAGATCGGATGGACTGCTTCTGGTGGAGGATAACGGCCCCCATTGGAGTCTTCTTCGCACCATCTTCGAAAACGGTAGACACTCCGTTCCGTCGGTGATATCGCCGATTCGTGAAGACAGTCGCACCAGTCGCCATCGATGTAACTACTAAAATTAAGGAATTGATGGAATGCTTGCATTCTATCGTCATTTTGTGTCCTTGCTCGATCAGATGGCTGATAATCCCGTAGCAGTATTTTGCGCCATGGAAACGCGAATCTCTAGCTATTGCTGTGAACGCGTAGTTAAACACGGCGCCTCGCTTCTTGCCTGTTTGTAGACGGTTATCAACTAGTAAGTTTTTTAGGGACTCCAAAGCAACACCAATGTGAGTCCTCACTCAAACACCATCTGGCGAACATCACTGCTAACTGACCGTTTGTGCTGGAAAGCAATGCTTCTGTTGTATAATTAATACATCCGGCACCTAGTTAAGTTGTTATGCTTGTTCATGACATCGGCACAAGTGAGTGAAAGCGACCGTAATCGACAACCAACGTCTTACTCTATTCCACACGTCCGCGTTCGCGGCCCACTTCGCTTCTGTATTTGCTAATGACCAGGTGTTTGTTCCGAGTTCGACGTGTACCGCTTTTTCCGAACTCGATAGTCTGCATTGCGGCGTTGAAGAGGTATGTCAACTACTCGCCAACTTTGATGGCACCAAACCTGCCGGACCTGATGGGCTTCATCCACTAGTTCTCAAGTCACTTTCGACCATCATCTCTCCTGTCGTGACTGACCTTTTCAACAGGTCGCTGTCCGAAGGTTCGTTGCCGGTTAACTGGAAATGTTCGGTGGTGAAGCCTATTCTGAAAAGTGGCGACCCTAGCAAAGTAGACAACCACAGGCCAATTTGTCTGACACCTATTTTGGCAAAGGTTGCTGAGAAAATCGTGAAGAAGGGATTGCTGCAGTTGCTAAAGTGAAAGGAGGTCCTGACGCCCGCACAGCACGGTTTTACGCAAGGCCGCTCATGCATTACGAACCTGTTTGTGACAAGGCATGTGTGGTTGAAGGCGATAAGCAAGGGAAAGTCTGTCGACGTGATATTCATCAACAAGGTCAGCCATGAGGTTCTTCTTCACAAACTCAGAATGTGTGGTGTCGGTGGCTCACTGCACCGGTGGATCCGCGGCTTTCTTTTTGGACGAAAGTGGAAGGTACAGGTCGACGACCATCTAACTGGTACCCCTCTACAAGTATATATTTATATATTTATTCGCAGTATGTTGACAGACATTGTGCCATCAGAACCATGGCAGAAGAAAAAAGTGAAGAAGATGGGAACACGAACTGCGATTAAAAAATATGGGAAACGATTTTTTTGGTTTTACACACACCATTTTTTGTGAGTTTTGTGTGCATCAACGGGATGGTAAAATGACAGAACAACATTGACGCCACTGATGTCTGTTGCGGGCCATGACGTCTAATGTTTCCAACCACTGCGATTCAGCATCTCGTGGTCCCCAACCTGGAAGACGGACTGGTCCGACCGCCGCCAAACTTGAGGTTGCCTTCTTCATGCTCCTTCTCAACAAGTGCCTGTCTCAAGGCACTGTGCTGGGGCTCACTGTTTTCCTGATCCACATCAACTATCTACCTCAACTTCTCCGGTTGCCGTGTGCCTTGTTTGCGGACGACATGAAGAGTTGGAGAGAAATTGATGCTCCCTATGACTGTGGCCTAGTTCAGCAAGACCTCAACCGCCTATCCACGTGATCTGCAGAAGTTTATCTCCCTGTCAACCCAGTCATGTCTATATTTATGCGCCTGGGGAAGGTTTCTGACGGCCGAACCTGCACCTTTGACGACCAACCGCTATATCCCACACCATCCGTGAAGGACCTAGATGTACTCTCGCGCTACGATTTGAAGTCCGTGGACAACACGAACAGGCTATATCATAACGGACTACGCATGTTTTGGGCGCTCAAACGTAGCTTCGGCACATGGTCTGAAGACGTTGACACTCGCCTCTTCTCTTCCATCATTAGACCAGTGCTAGAGTACGGCTCCCCCGCCTACTTTCCGGTTACCCGAGGCGAGGCTCAAAAGATCGAAAGGGTCCAACGCGTTGCTACCAGGCTCATCCCGAGTTTACCTGGCTTAAGGTATGAAGACTGGTGCGAGAAACTAGGACTCTACACCTTGTTTTACCGTCGGGTGCGAGTCGACCTCATTATGACCTACGGTATTCTACATCTCGGTGACTTCCCCATGCGGAGGCCAATGCTGCACTTACGAGGGCCATGAAGCAAACGCGGACACAGATGAAAATTTGTCGTGCCGAATGCAAAACGTTTTCCCAACCCACTATGCTTCGAATAGAGCGTGATAAATATTTGGAGCAGTTTACCTGAACATGTCATGGAGTCAGCATCTGTGCAGCAGTTCAAAACGTTAGATTTATATTTTACCATTATTCGATTCAGAGAACGATTGCACACTTAGAATGACAAATCACATTTATGGGTCCTGCAATATCGTGAGTCAGATACTTTAAATGTTACATTAGAACGACAACGATATTCACGGTTGACAACTTTTATAACGTTTTTCACGATATTTCGAAAGAGTGGTACAGAATTCATTTCTACTTGCTCTATAATACAGTATTCAGTTTACGCCCATCTATGAGGCATGCATTCATTGCGTGTGGTTTGTTTTCAGCTTTTTGTTCAATCAGACCTCTCTCTCGCACTTTATCTTAGTTGACAATGGCCGGCATTTGTGGCGGATTTTTTCACGCTATGCTTCCAACCTCTTTTATACTTTCTTCTTGCTGTTTACATGTCATTCAGTTGCCAATCACTCGGCATCAGACGTCTTGATCTCTATCCCCCTTAAACCGAAGCATGTCAAAAACTGTTGCGTTATTGCGCAATAAATAATTAAATATTCCTATATATATGTATATTTTATTTATTTATTTATAGAACAGTCTGTGATACAACTATTGCACCGTCGGAATAATGGCCGAATAGGAAAAATACTATAGACAAGCAAATAGCAACAACAAAAGCTCTTTTTGTCCAATTTGCCACTCACAGTTATTGAAATTTATTTTGGCAAGGCGCATAAATTGTCATCCAGTGGCAGTGTCCTGGATGAAACTAAGTTACTGTCGTTGTGGCTTTTTGCAGTAACTGCCGCAGTGTGCTGAAGACAACTCAGACGGTTCACTGCGGCTTGACATCAATGTCCTGGGGACTGTTCGGTTGTTACTTGCGCAGTTTGAGTCGCCGCATGGTGACAATATATGAAGTGAACCCTGCGACATCTGCGCAACACATCCACGGTGGAGGCCGATTGGCGCTCTCGTTTCCATATGACTGTAATGCTATTGGTTGTTGGTTTCTGAGTGACTTTTGCTGCTTCGCCTTTTCTCATAGTTGTCACTCTGCAAAACCCACTGTAATTTGTCCCCCAGCTTCACTTATTATTCCCGTTACTGTGCTAAACAGTTAATCTACATGCACTGTCGTCTTCCACGCGTTATTTCCCTCAGGTACTACTGCGATATTTGCCTGGATCGCACACTGTACGCCCGAACCACGAGCAAGACAGCTTCGCCGAGTATTTTCTGGGCGGAAGATTTTGATCTCAAGTGAGCATTACCTTGCCCTTTGATCCTTAGCGCGTGTATGTCGTGCGTGTACTTTTGCTAACTCCACCCCTTCACCAATGTGTGCCGGTGGTGTCTGATTTGGGCGTACAAAAGAGTCTTCTCATCTTTGTCGTCTCATCTATCCTGTCACTGCCATTGAGCTTTCACTTGCGACATCTGACTTGGATCCGACACCTACTTGTCAGCTTGTGGCTTTCCGAAGTCTCTACCATTACACCTCCGCACGCGATGCACAATACTCAGCAGAGACCACATCAACAACGTGTGGCTTGCGTAGCACCATTCTTACTTGTGGTACGGGTCGACGTCGATGAGTGCCCCGGCAACGTACAAAACAACACACACATCTACCGCCATCAGTCGGTGAAAGCGTCCGATTGACGACGCACTCGGCTGATTCGAATGTGTTGGGTACATGACTAGTGGGTTTTCGCAACCATAGGATTGGGTTCTTAGAGTGGAACCACTATTGTCTGATTGCGTAGAATTGAAGCCCACAACCCGTCTGATAGAGAGGCAATCGTGTCGTTACTTGCAAACCTCAACTCTGCAGATTAATGTAAGGCATCAACCGTGCCCCACCACTGTATAGCCAGTTATGAGCGCATAAAACAGGACTGTCTATTTGGCCGTTAAATGCCTGGGTCAAATCTCCATACTATCACGAACTGGATGAACGGCGTGTTTGATCCACTTAGAAATCCCATACACAAACTTGTACAGTATGTCTGCGATCCGAAAGCGGAATTGTTTGGGTTGATGTTTAATCTTACGTCACCAACATTCTGCTGAACGAAAATGCTCACCATCGATGCAAGTTTATACGCAAAGCTAACGTCAGACCACAGCATCCTACGGAATTGTTGAGGTACATGTTCTTTGCACGCACACAAACCATCGATTTTTTCAAGGAAAAGCAAATCTAGAAATAAATGCTGAGGCGCTGCGTTGACTCCTATATCTGATATTTGCTAAAAGACAATCGTTTGATACAACGAAACGAATTTATGCAAACACTATCAATAGTATACTGCTAGCCACTCAATAGCCTGTGTCCAAATTTCACCGTGATACTTGAGACGGAGTACAACAATTGTCTCCGATGTGTAGGTATACTGGTCCTGCTAGATAGTTCTGCCAGGAAACGACTCTAAGTTCACTTGTTCGCCGAGCTTCGTTATTGGGATGCAAACGTTTCATCACCATACGATGTGACTTCGTCAGTGCGCTGCTAGGTCAAATGTAATCCGCTGACTTGTTCCTCATTATGCAATCGATGAGCAAGTGACTTTTGAACTGACCTCCTCGATCTGTGCTCGGGGACAAAGTGAACTCAGAAACGATCAACCCGAGCTACCAGTGCATCAGGAAACGACTCAAACGAGTCATTTTAAGAGTTCCCATCAGAACGATGCAGGAGGTATCTGGTCCGAACGTTCATCATCATTATAGACGCATTCGACTTGTATTCCAAACGTTAGAGTAGGGGAGAAATCTGCCATTTGAAGCACCAGAATCTAGTGCTTATCCATTACTATCCATAAAATATTTCATCGACAATACACCAAACGAAATGGAACAATAACGTTTCAACAGAATCCAATTTTCCCCGAATTCTCATTCATTAAAGTCGACTAAAGCATGGGAGGGATTGTGAACAAGGCGAACGCTGCATTGGTAATCCATACAGTACAGTTGAACCACACATGCTTCGCATCAACGAGGCCAATACACAGATGGATTTGTGAGAATACATCCACATTGCAATAGTGCACATCTCGTCTGCAGCTGTGCAACCAGCTCCGTTTGGTGTCCGAACAAACACCAACACATCTTCAAGTGGCTGCGTAAAATGATACTTTTCTTCCCTACTGATCCAGGCGCATCGAGAACATCGGCTACTCCAGCAATCGCGTTGGCACCTCTACTGAGTTCTGGTCATCTGGTCAACCTTGATGCATCGTTCGCAGTCCTCATGCGCATTCAAAAGCTTCGAAATTTTCAAGCTTTTTAGACATACTGCTAGTTTATCTATACTGGCTACCTTTCTGCATGCAGAAATAGTCAACTGTGGCTCCAAACTTATTGCTGTGGCTTGAAGCGTACCAATCGGATACCATGCGATCTCACGTGACCTCCCATCGATTGCAAGTTTGTGATTGGGACGGATGCGCAAACGGACGGTATCATTTCACAACCTACATATTCTTTAGTTTTATAAAGAGTATTTCTACTTTAATTTTATTAGTTACCTAAGGTATCATTGAGGGCAGTGCTTCATGGACAATCGGTTTATTCAACTAAGCTTTGCGAACGAAACTTGCAGAACCTTCGATTCACAGAGCACCTTTGTGCACTTCCATAAAATACGGATTTTTTGAGGCCGATTTACTCCCTCCTTTGACCCAGTTAACCGACCGCCGAAGAACTCACCGTAGCTCTCCCGAACCTCAACCAATTAACAAAACCGTTTAGATGATCGACTACACCTGCTGCCTCAGGTTCACCTCCTGTTGGCTGGCTTGTTCTTTGAAATCCATTTGTTCACTAATAGGACTCTCCTATTACAATCTTTTCCTCGATTTGTTATGTCGATGGCTTTCATATTGGTAATGCTTTTAGTGATGCAAACGTACGAGTGTGTTCCAGCCGTCCTCTACCCACCGCACTCTTGTTGCTCTCTTCATTCGTCTGACCGCTTATGTTGCTTTCCGACGTGGCTTACTTTGCTTATGATATTCATTACTTTGAGACCCTTTGGAACTCATAAAGAAAGAAACATGCTTGCATTTCCCGTTTCAATGAGAAATAGACAGATCACAACGCACAGATATAGTGTTTATTTGTTGGCATTATATGGGACGATGAATTAATGATTGTTGTTAGTGTCTGCCTGAGTGGAAGTTTAAACGTCTTCGCAAGGATTAGTTTGCCCCGTTTAAAAGATTAATTCGGTGTTCTTAAGTGTCCTCAACATCTGGACGATATTCCTCGATTCAGGATGGTGGCTACCTTTTGGTTATTCACGTTGAGTTGCAATTTATTTTTCCTCTGCACGCATCTAGTTTTATGTGTGCTCAGAGACGTGCAAAAGAGTTTGATTTTTTGAAAACATGTTTATGTAATGTTTTTGATTATGTTATAGAGAATGGAACATAGTTTTTACCATGGGAATCATTCCTTATAACTAGATGTACCATCGTGACGCTGTCATTAAGGACTACCCAGAAATATTAGCTATATCTTAAGGCATTTACATGAGACTGGGGCAACGAAAACAGCGTGTGGTGACAGTGCCACACGTCTGTGCTTTTTTGGGTTTGTGGGTCGAATAGCTGCGGTACACACACACCACATCACACACTGAGCTACTCAACGCTTACTTCCGCAGATGTAGACGGTAGCACAGGCTTTCACACCTTCAGTGCGCATGTTCGGAAGCTCTCTCGCTTATTACTCTCTTCCTGACTTCCTGGGTGATCCGGTGGGGATGGGCTTACTCTACTCTCAGAGGACCTCTTTTATTTTGCCCCTACTAACTTGGTGAGCGTGGTGTGTAGTGCACTCTTTCAGTGGCTGACGTTGCACTTGTGTCTTATTCTCCCCGTTGATCATGCTTTTCTTTAGTCCCACACTGTGTTTTCAGTGTTTTTGTGCGGCTTTCGCCAGTCGCGATTGACCACGGAAGATCCGTATCCCTATGCGCTTTCTCTTTATTACTTGCCCGCTTCGTGCGTCGCACGGCGAGGTGCCTATCTCAGCGAATTCGTGAACACATCCCGGCATGATTTCACAAAGGCGAATTGTGGTCCTCAGACACCTCAATCATATCGCACCTCTTTGAATGTGGCCATACAGCTTCAGAGAATGACTTCAAAGTCATCTACTCACTACCTGAACGTTACTCCTAAGGATTCCGCAAACAGCTCTTATCCATTGCCCAGGCTATCTACATCCACCATCTGAAGCCGGAATAATGTGTACAAAAACTATTCATGCGGCCGACACTAGTACCTTGGTCAACGGACACTGTTACTTAGTTATTTGGTTGTTACGTTACCTACCTTATTACTTCGGACTACTGAGCTTAGTGTATGCACGTTTATTTAGTTCACTTGGCACACCATATATATCCCTGTCTCACGTTATCGATTTTGATCCTTCAATCAGTCCAGAAGTAAGTCCCATCCCGAGTTGACGCTTTCCCCAACATCAGTGTTATGTTAACCTTTGGGTCCGATGAGACTTTACCGAAAAGAATCCTTCATCCTAAACTGATATATATATATATATATATATATATATATATATATATATATATATGGTGAACACGACCAATAATACAATTGGCAGAGTTCCACAACCTAGGGACCAGCACAAACAGCGATTGCGAAGAGAGCGATTGTGTAATACTGTAGTGATGAGAGTAGCTTCTCACAACATGCCATCCTGTAGGCTTAAGGATTACAGGCCGGCCTTGTAATCTGACAGTGTGGTTTCAAATCTGCGTAGGGATGAGGCGACCCTCGCAGTTCCCCTAGTCCGCGTGCGACCAGTGATGGTTGCGCGGCAGCGAAGCATCGGTACTGCGTACCTTTTATTATCACAACATGTTCGTCATTGTGCACGTTATCCTTGCGTCTCCAACAACGTAGCCGAGAGCTCCTGACTGCGGACAAATTTGAAATCAGCCCCCTCATGCTTTTAACTCAAGTCATTCGTTGGCCACCTTCGCTTCCAGCCGAATTTTGCTCACGCGAAGATTACACGGCGATGTAAACGCTCTATGGGCATGCAATGCACGTGCCGCTACTGCATAGCCATTGCTGTTTTCTATGTATCATGTGGATTTAAAACAAACTTTTGACTGAACAAAAGCTCTTGTTCAGGGAGCGAGGCATCTTTTTTACCGCATGAAAATTGGAGGTGCCTATTGATTGCGATGGCTTCCCACTCTTCACTTTCCATTGTCACCTCCCCTGCTCTCTGACAAGGTACATTATTCAGTGCGCGCTGTTCATCGCCACTACTCTGTCTACGGTTACGTTCAACACGATATTTGCGTGGCCCCACTAATTCTTCGCTCTCTGTCTGGCCCACACAGTTGTGGGTAACTCGCGTCGGCCTCACTTTCATTATACCTTTTCTCAATCCGTTGCATCCCTTGCGCTTCCAAATTCCCATCTCTTTCTGTTTATTCGTTCGCTATATTGTTGGCCAATTTGCGATTGGTCACTCAACGAACAGTACGTATGTATGACCTTTGCGCCCGTTGGATGCAACTTGATGGTCATAAGGACCATATTGAGAGATCCAGGGAGAAACATGCTTTCCCTAAGCAGGAATTCGAAAGCACTATGGATACAATTGACTGGGAAATGGTCTAATTACTCGTCCTCTCCGTTTGCTCCGTAGTGCCTGCCTCTCGTCGATCAGCCCAAATTCAGCCCCTCCCTATCAAGAGCTTCTGACATCCAGGAATCTTTCCTGTATGTACACTAATGCTCAAGGCCTACATAATAAACTTTCGGATCTGCTACTCCGTCAAGCTTCAGACGATTCTGACCTCATCGCTATATCGGAGAGATGGTTACGCCCGAGTTCGCGCTGCCAGTCATGTCCCTTGTTCGGCACTACCCAGCCAGTAAATGCAGTGAGGTGACTGTGTACCTCCGCGGTGACCTCCAGTCTTAGCCAAAGTGGATCCAGTCAGCAATGTACACACTACTCTTCGATGCCGTCCAAGAGGCGACGATGCTTTCTTGGCGGTTGTCGTTTACCACCTTCCCTCCTTAATACCAGAGATAAATTTTCTGGCATCCGCACTATGGCTGCGGATGATAAACAACAGGTATAACGATATTTTTATTGCTGGCGATTTTAATATCCACGCTCCGGAATCTCAAACCGGATCAACAAGAGGTTGTCTCCAGTTTCTCGTTGTATGGTCCCATTAATACCCACCAGATTCAGAGATACTGATAGGCCGTCTATATCAAATATCAGATGTTCACCAACGAAGAGCTACTGATCAGGAGGATGATCGCCGATGTCTTCTTGGGCCGCAGTGGTCATTTCCTCTTATTCTTCGCATACATTTGTTGTGCAGTATATCCCGTTGCAATTGCGGACGCAACGAGATCGATCAAACGATACGACATGTTAGCTGGACAAGGTGAGACAACCAACTGAATCTCACAAGCAGAGGTGGCATCGCCTAGCGTATGGCAACAATTCGTCAGACAATATTGCACTCTGGTTGCGGGATCACGGCAAATTAAAGCTGTCCACCCGAGAAACGTGGCCTCGTTTCTGCGAAACAGGACACGTAAGTGTATACTGGTGCGAAACTCTGCCTGTGTCTCTCTGAGCACCCAGATCTGAATGGCCTATGTGGCCCAGCGTAGCCCGTTGCACTCAAATTGTTCGCAAAAATACAATGATATGCCAGCAAAAGTTGGCAATGCGCCGCTTGTTCTCAACTCACATACTGCTGTATGCATATGGAAACAGTTGCTAGTCGGAACGTGCGCTGAGCTAGGCATTATTACTCCGAGCATTTCATCACCACTCGGGGTGACATCGTTAGTGCCCAGTTATGTGGCGGAACTGAGCGTCACGATGCGAAGCGTCAGTGAGTGTGAGTGATCGACCAATGATGATGCCTGCTATTCTCTACGTGATTTGATCAAGTAAACTCAAAACTGGTCGTGGTTGTGCAGTGTTGTTGGGCAGATGACTCCTAATTTCCTGCTTTATTAGCTAGTGATCGAATTGGTCAAGGTACACTCCTAATACGGATCACAGTCTTCATTGAGATTGCATGTCATTATCCATCCACACAACGTGTACTTCAAAATGACCATGCAGTCAGTCAGTAGCCGTTGTGCCAATTGTTGCCCGGTGGTTATATGAGTATAGGTCCCATTTAGCATCCAAATGATCCCGAGCTTGATGCCTGCTATCTCTACCTTATGAAAACCAATCTTTCGATGCCGTTCGCGATGTGTAGTGTTTTCGGACGGGTAGCACCCAGTGGTCAACTTTCCATTTGCCAGTTAAGCACTGGTTCTGTTTGCTCAGTTGATTGACCTCCACTGCATCTCGTGTTGTTATCCTAGATTCGTTAGCGCTCAGGCGTTCTTTGTTTAGACTTTCTTTTCAATTCGGCTCCCTCCTTTATCCTGATCTAAACCAATTCTGCCTTCTTTTTCTGACCCATACGATTGTAGTTATTTCGCTTTGACGGCGATTAATTGGCCTCCTGTCCATTTATCCCCTGTATAGTCACGCTCACCATGACACACCGTGTGTAATTCTCGATACACCATCTCAGCCTCGAATGTTGCTTGTCACCACCCCGGTTCAGCTCTCAGATCCAGCTCCACTTAATTCAGAAATGTAAACAGAGGAGCAACCGATGCGCAAGCTCTGTCAGAATGTTCCCGGACTTCAAACAATTTACCATCCCAGTTTTTACCGATAATGTTACACTTAGTTTGGTGAATGACTTGTTTACAAACTGTCCACCCCACGTGGGCTAAACCACGCCCCTATCTACTACCTCCCAAGCGTCGAGTATTCTCAACACTTACCACAGTTGTAAGTGCTCCATCCTATTCCATCTACCGTATCCTCCCAGAGAATGATCGTCATCTGTTGGATGACACGTTTACAAGGTGAACTCAAACTAAATCGTATTGCCAACTTCACATGTTTCCACTTGGAACTGTTTTCCTGTTTGTCCCTGTTCGTAGCCTATCCCTGTTTCGAAGGTACCAGCGGTACGCCCAGACACAGTGCCGACTCTTCGCTGCCGCGCAACCACCACCAGTGTCACGTGGACTAAGGGTACTGCGAGGATCGCACAGTTCTTACGCACGCTGTAACCCGCGCCACCGGATTACAAGGCAGGCTTGTGATCTTTGAGTTTACTGGCCAGCGACTCCCACTTCTTTTACGGCTACACCTCTCCTCTAGTGAAGCCCTTCTAAGGCCTGTTTTGATACCCAACCCGTCGCTTCTTGTGCTTGTTCTTACTTTCGTGGTCCTACAGATTTGCAATCATACGGTGGCTGTTATCCTAATGTTGATATTTCTGCTTTCCTTCAGCAATCTGCCCAACGTATCCGTGATGACTTTAAGTTTGTACAAAGAAGCGGATTCATCCAACAAAGACGGACGACGATTCGGGACTTCCAGATCTGGCAGCAAGAAGCATCGCAAGTCGCAGAATCAGTTGATCGGTAAGCGTCACTGAACTGTGTGTTGTCTAGTCAACTTACAATCTCTTCTGTTTTGCTGTGCTTTACGACTTGCTAGTTACTTTCCCCTCTGGACACCTACCTATTTGAGCTAGTTTTCTGTCTCACCGGGACTCACACTTCTTGCTGTTGTGGTTCGCGTTCCTCCGTCATCCATTGAGCTACACCGGTGGGCTCTTAGTGTCACAAGCGTTCATTTGTTTGAGAATCTCAACGTTCTCTTCACCAGAAAGTGAGGAGTTATACTATCAACTGAATCGTGATTCACCACGCTCTTCGCTGGTTATCTGCGAGGTTGAGAGAACAGAACATTTCTCAGACGTCCATTATCTACCGTATTGGTCACGTTAGTCCTACTTGAACTCATCTGTAATCGTTCATGGACACAGGCACACCACCTGTTACAGCGGATAAGTGTGTGTGACCGGTCTCATCTACATCTCCATGGATCTCTGTAGTCCCACTTGCACTCTGGATGTCTGTTGCATGCTGTCTTACTGATCAGACCAATAAGTCAGAGGCTCCGGGTGGTGTTGTTTGAGCAAACCTCCTCGTAAGCCGCTGCCTTGTGGGCCAGGCTGTTACATCAAAGATTGTTGACGGAAAATCTCCAACGAACCTCTCTCACTCTTTATTGGAATGGTCAAAAGGATAGTTTGTGATTTCTCTCTCTATTCCTCTTCCTTTTCAATGATCCTACCATGTGGTCTAGCAAGTCACCACAACTTTCGTCAACCACTACCGAAGTAACTCGCACTCTGGGCTTCAACGTCAACATATCATAAAACAGGTGGCACTTGCTTGATGAGTCAGCATCTCAATGCAGCTACGCCTACCAAAATGGGGCCCCAAAGAGCAGAGATTGCCCACTTCGCTTCCCCCTATTGATATGAATTCCGTGGTTCTTGTCCTCCATATCACTCAGTAGATGTGAACAGTTGCATGCATGTACTTTGACCACGGCTCTCAACCTGTATCGCTGGTCACTTCTATCAACGCTTCCACTAGTTTTACCTCGAAGTTCGACGTAGCTAGATACCACGAACAACTGTCTTCTATACTGCTATTGAGCAAGGGCTTGCACATGCTTGTCGTTGCAAACAGCGTCGACGCCTAATTCGGTCGCCTCAGGAGGTGTGGCGTCGTACTGTTCTTGCGTGTAGCCCTTCGCTATCCGCGAACTCGCTGTTTGGATTGGTTGCCGCACCTACAAAACCGCATCAGTCGTCCCCCGTTCCTGCTCTTGGGTGATTATAACCTCTCGAATACGCTGGCCTAACGTACAACTTCTCCCCGGACACGGTGAAGTGGAGGCAGAGTTTGCTGAGATGATCTTCGAAACTGGACATTACAACACAACTGCCAGCCGACGCGCATAACACTGCACTTAAGTCCGTCGTGCTTGGACGATGTTGACTAGCTGCGAACAGCGTGTGCGTAATGTTTTGGTCATGGAGCCTATGGCAGAGAGTGATCACTCGATGTTCATGGCCAGCCTTGCGTTTTCACTGCCACACTCGTCTCCGCTGGAGCCATCCTGCAACTACTGGAAGACTCACTTCGTTGGTCTTACTCGCTCAGCTAATCAAGTGGACTGATCGCTGTCAAAGGATTCAACTGTTGAAGTCGTGTCAACTGCACGTTGGTGATACAGGAGCATCATCATCAACAGCAGCACATCAGCCACTTGAACTGATGCTTCGCTGCCATACAAACATGATGAGCTATGAAATAAAGAATAATAAGAGGGAAAGAAGGGGGACTTACCTGAAAACCTTAATGCCCTAAGCAAACATTCAGGGTCAAGGCGCCTACACCTTGTGTAGACAACATACTCCGCATAGGGGTGGGCGTCCTCGCGGTATACTCAGCCCGCGCGCGACTGGTGGTGGTCGCGCGGCAGCGAAGCGCCGTTACGGCGTATAAGCTGACACAGACAACATACCGTCACAAACAGCTGGCTATCGTGCAGAGACAAGGCGGCATCGGCGAGACAGCTTCCTTGCGGCTTTCACTGCCACGCGTCATAATCAGCCATTACCTCATGGGAAATGAAGTCACTGACGACCAAACTGGGTACGGTTGGTCCGTCTCGCCTTCCGGGCTGGAGTCCACGTGACTCGTCTTGTGCTTGGCTCGCGACTTTACAGGACATGGCTCGCAGTAGCCACCAGTGGTGCGTCTGCTGCCGTCTCCTAATTGGATTACCTGTTTAAAGTGTGTTTGGTGCTGAGTTATCTGCGGGGTAATGGCTGATTATGACGCGTGGCAGTGAAAGCCGTAAGGAAGCTGTCTCGCCGATGCCGCCTTATCTTTGCACGATAGCCAGCTGTTTTTGAGACGGTATGTTGTCTACACAAGGTGTAGTCGCCTTGACCCTGAATGTTTGCTTAGGGCATAAAGGTTTTCAGGTAAGTCCCCTTTCTCTCCCTCTTATTGATACAAGAGCGACCCTTCATGAAACCCTGCTGTTCGGTGGTGAGGAGGTTTCTCGACTCCAATAGCTGCGCTATACTCCTCCTCACCACTTTCTCGAGTGCATTAGCAAGTCACTACCGGCTGCCATGCCACTCACGGTGTTTGTTTAATTTACGATACGCTATCTCAGTCACGAATGCTGTTTGTCACTAACCCAGTTTCACTCTCAGCTCCGGCTCCACTTAGTTTGGGAATGCAAACAGGAGAGCAACCGATCAGCGTCGGGCTAGCGTGCATCGCCAGAATCTTCCGGTATGCTAATTTGTTTTCTACCCCAGTTTTCCCGGATGATGTTACACTGTATAATGTGCTGACGTAGCAGTTGTACTTTTGAACTTTGTACTTTCGGCAACAAACTCTCATCAACTTATTCGTTCTTGTCGACCTGACTTGTCTGCCTTTGTCCTGGGATCCACATACTGCCATGTCGGTGACTTCCATGCGTATTGTATCTTAATTCGGAACCATGTTGCTTGGTGAAACCCGATAATGATAAATCAATGCCACTTTCCATACAGGGTCTCTAGATCAGTCTCCCACATGTACTATATCGCAGTCACAGTTTCAATGAGACATTTTCATGCTTTTCTTTCTGTGCTACCCACACTGGTACCTGTTTTCTCATCTTCTCATCATTATTCTCGCCGTTGATATAATCATTATTGTGGCGCCTTGGATCACGACCACACGCTGCTCCGACCCGCGCATCGAGCCTATGCTCATCTGCCTACCGGGTCCATTGAACCCACGTGTACCTCCAGGATTCACTACAATCGGTGGGTCGGTTTGCCTAACGCATTCCCATCTTGCCTCACGTATTGTTAAGGCGTTATCCTCAAATTCCGGAGAACCTCGGATGCAGCGATACCGAGGCACTGACAATCATTGATCTGTGGCGATGTACAAAATATGTACTTAGGTTCCTTAAGCAATTCAGACACATATGTGCATACACACACTCCGTATGTTCTTATCTATACTTGGAGTGGCACTGCGTGTCTATTTGTCAAATCGGTCATTCCTCCGAAGGCATCATCCCTAGTTTCGTTGCTGCCCCTGGTGCTTGACCTATGCAAGCTGGACACAAGTACAAGACAGTACGCCTGCCGGCACACGTTCGCTGCCTTCACTCTCTCTCTCTACCAGACATGATTAACTTTGTGCCAGCGTCCCGATACTACATGGTGAGCGCATGTCGCGCGCTCGAATTTCCGTTCCTTTTTTCCAAACTACGCGGTCGACTGTCAATATTACAATCTCCTATGCGTCCCTCGCCTATGCAAGCCCAACTGCTTTCAATAGGAGGAAACAACGCGATTCCTGGTTCACAGGAGGGTGGGGGTGGAAACCACCACGCATGTTGTTGGCTCAATTTGAAGTGCCTGTTGTTTGCGAATGGATTTCGACACACCATCCAACTGAGAACCGTGATTTATTTTTTAGGTAAATTCACTCAACTCGATCACTTGGACCGTATGCAGTCATGTTGCCGAGAAGGCAACGGGGTGCAGACGAGTTATGTGATGGTAAACCAACGTCTATATGTCATGACAGTTCGAACTTGGAAACTCTGGTCTATTTGCGCATTTACCTCGCGTGGTACCTTTCCGATTCGCCGTTCTGCTGCGCCCCTTCATTCAAAACGTATAGGTGGAGGTTGATTTCTCCTCCACCCATCCTTCATCCGGCTGATTTGTGTACCACACATCTTTCGTCTTCGCCGCCCTACGGTTTCGTTGATTTCCTTGTGTCTGCTCCTTTCCACACATACTACTCACTAGTATTGCATCACAATCTCCCCACATGGGAATCGCAAAAAAGCGCACATAAATAGTGATCACATTGACAACAATACTAACTATAAATATTGCTACTGCCGACATTTCATCCAACGACTTACTCCGTACCTTCCGAGTTTGCGATTGAATGTAGGGTACCAAGTGAATCACAGTCAAAATTGTGATTACGTGGTAAGATCCATTTTGACACAACGAGTGCTTCCAATCAAACGCTCACTATTGGGATTGTAACCTAACCAGGCTGAGTGACTTTTTTTAAGTGCCGAAAGAGTGCAGTTTCTGCCGGCTATTAGTCACTTTGCAATAGTGTTTGCAACGAACAAACAGAATTAACATATGGTGTTATGCTGAGGACCCAGCGAGCACTGCTGCATTTCACCACGCACACTTTTGTTTCCTTGGATAGTTGTCGACATCCGCTTCCGGATTTAACTGTCACTGTGACTTTCGCAGGCACAGGACGCCTGCGCCTACAGAGGGATCATGAATGGTATGCGCTGCACCATCCACAGATCCAATCACACGCCCCATATCCATTGTAAACCCGAAGGAATAAGATCGGGAGGCATGTGGATGGGCGCCGCGTTGCATCAACGGAGTCGGCCCACACTCCTTCACAGCCAAACACAAGCACGCTGTATTTGGGGAATCAGTTGCACACAACGCGGTGGCTGGACCGTAGTCCGCTCCACACTGCATGGAACT